GTCGCGTGCCAGAGCTTGGGCTGCCCTCCCGTCATCTGAGATGTTTGACTCTCCGTGCCGAGACAGCATGACCACTCGAGCCACCATATTGGGGCGTGCAAGTACGGAGGTTTTCAAGAAGACGAGGAAACCTTGGGCATTTTTGAGATCGAGTCAAGAAAGAGACTCTTGTTAAGTGTGTGCTTGTACACTGTCTCTCCCCAAATCCATGTGAATAGAGATCCTAATTGGTTGTGTCTCAAGTTCCATCCCCTCGCCTTCGTGACCATTCACTACTACTTGACGGAGGTTTTGAACTCATCCTTCACTTTTACAAGCCTCATACTTATTAACCTCTCAGTCCTCTGGAACAAGAGCTACCCTAACACCTACCCAACTAAAATAAAACTAGGCTGGTCCTTGCGATGACAGGCGGACGGACTATCTAAATCCCCCGGACTCGGCTCCATGCCGCGGATTAGCGTCGGCAAGCTCCGTTTCTCCAAAACACTTTGCCGGGACCGCTTGAATGCTCAAGCTTCCCCCGCGACTTTCCGACTGCAAGGGTCATCTTGGACACCAGTGCCGAGCTGCCCTTCCGAGGCGGAGAAGGCCCAGCCAGCCCAGCGCGTCCAGCGACGCCGGTCATCTGGGGTCGGATTCAAGCCGCCGATACTATAAGTACGGAGTTAACCCCAACTTGAAATTAAATCATGTCGTTTGTTCCTGTTCGACTGCTCCTTGCCTCTTGCGTCGTGATACCCAATTCCTTGTAAATATACCCAGCGGCCAGGACCGTGACATTCGGTAACTGCAAGTGCCGCTTGAAGCCGAGTCCCTCATTACCTACATTTCTCCTGGAACACCCACGCTCCTCCTTGAACTCCCCGTCTCTCTCCTGCATACGTTAAGATGCCGTCGAGAGCATTGTGCATGCGGACCCTCAGGGCCTACTCCAAGTATGGCTCAAACGTAAGCTCGCAATGGCCTCGAGCCCCGTGTCGACCGACCTACCATAGCTAACAACATCCAGCACGCCGCCCTGTTTGCCCGCTCCTTCTCAGCCACCTCCCGCCGCGCCGAGATCAACAAAGTCTACCCCTCCGCCGCCAAAGCTCTCGAGGACATGAAGCCGAACTCCACCCTCCTATGCGGCGGCTTTGGCCTCTGCGGCGTGCCCGACACCCTGATCGACGAGGTCCTCAACAAGCCCGACATCACAGGCCTGACCGCCGTTTCCAACAATGCAGGCACGGACGATTCCGGGCTCGGCAAGCTCCTCAAGACCAAGCAGATCAGCAAGATGATCGCCTCCTACATCGGCGAGAACAAGACCTTCGAGAAGATGTACCTCACCGGCGAGGTCGAGCTGGAACTTACACCCCAGGGCACGCTCGCCGAGCGGTGCGCCGCCGGCGGCAAGGGAATCCCGGCCTTCTACACCCCCGCCGCGTTCGGCACGGTGGTGCAGACCGGCGAGCTGCCGCTGCGGAACAAGCCCGACGGCAGCCCGGCGCAATTCTCGTATCCCAAGGACGTCAAGGTGTTCAACGGCAAGAGCTACTTGCTGGAACACAGCATAGCCGGCGACTACGCCTTCGTCAAGGCCTGGAAGGCGGACAAGCTCGGTAACTGCCAGTTCCGTCTGGCGGCTCACAACTTCAACGGGGCCATGGGCCGAAACGCGAAAGTGACGATTGTCGAGGCGGAGCACATCGTCGAGCCCGGTGAGATTGCGCCAGAGGCGGTGCACTTGCCCGGCATCTATGTCACGAGGGTGATCCAGAGCACGAGCGAGAAGAAGATTGAGAAGTACACATGGGCTAAGGAGAGTGGTGAGGATGAGAAGAAGGCTGCGCTTGGCACTGGTGATACGGCTGCTAAGCGGGAGAGGATTGTCCGTCGGGCTGCCAAGGAGTTCAAGAATGGCATGTACGCCAACCTAGGCATTGGCATGCCCATGCTGGCTCCCGGGTTTGTGGGCGAGGACGTCGAGGTGCAACTCCAGTCCGAGAACGGTATTCTTGGACTTGGCCCTTACCCACGGAAGGGCGACGAGGACGCCGATCTGATCAATGCGGGCAAGGAGACTGTCACGCTGAAGCCTGGCGCTGCAGTCTTTGGCAGCGAGGAGAGCTTCGGCATGATCCGGAGCGGGAGGATCAACCTCACCATCTTGGGTGCTATGCAGGTCAGCGCCACTGGTGACCTGGCCAACTGGATGTTGCCCGGCAAGGTCAAGGGTTTCGGCGGCGCCATGGATTTGGTCTCGAACCCGGCTATGACAAAGGTCGTCGTCACGATGGAGCATACGGATAAGAAGGGCAATGCCAAGATTGTCAAGCAGTGCGCTTTCCCGCTGACGGGTAAGGCATGCGTGTCGAGAATTATCACGGAATTGGTAAGTCTACCCGGCTCTGATGCAAAGTGAATAGTTGCTAATGATGCCTACAGGGTGTGTTTGACGTCGACTTTGCCCAGGGGCTGACATTGATTGAGATTGCGGATGGTGTCACCGTGGATGAGATCAAGAGCAAGACTGAGGCTCCGTTCACAGTTGCAAAGGACTTGAAGCCTATGCTATAAGGTGTTAGGGAATTGTATCGGCGAAGTGTTATTCATCGGCAAGCGGTGCGGTTATGGTGTGTGATAGTACGGCGTCCATGTTATGTATATATCTCTTTGCTATGGGCTTCTAAAATTCGGCCTGTCAGAAAGGCCTGGGGTACCTTATCTGCATTGCAGACTCTGTGTGGAGCAGATTTGCCATTAGACTTTCAACTTTATTCATAACGTCTGCAAACGTAATTATGATTGAGGTTGAATCATTGCTATAAGGCGGCGCCCGCTCTCATGTTAATGCGAGTGGGCGTTGTCAGTTTATCTGCAGTGTAATCAGCAGGGGTGGAACAGACACATTGTTTATCATAATTATCGCGAGAAGTTTGGCAGCTGCGCCACGCCTTGCTTGCAGTGCTCATCCAAAAGACAACACACATACCGGTATATTCCAGTAGTCAATCCGGCCTTCCTCCCAGCCTCCGCACTTTTCTTTCTGGTGAGCCTCGGGAGAAAAAGCATCCGCCACATCAAAGCACGTACGGGTCGAACGACATCAAAACGACAAGAACATGTCCGCCGCGACGGTGACGAAAAGCCGACCGCAGCGACAGGAGGGTAAAATCCCAACCCTGGTAGAGTTGTGCACCAGAGTTCTAGCCGAGAATATCGAGGAAGCCTCACCCGAAGCCCTCGAACACTTGCCTATCGCCCTTCTTTGGCGTGTGTACAAGTACTATGCCACTGGATGGTCGGTCCAGTCCCCATCCATAACTTACGATCGGAAGCACAGTGCCTGACATTGAGTTCAGCCGCGAGAGTATTCAAGGCTGGCGCCTGTTCTCGCCATTACTGGTTAGGGAGCTCTCGAGAGTGCCAGTGCTTTTATACTGGTTTGGTTGGCAGAAACCCTCCCCAAGCATTCATGACCTGCCGCGTCACCTCCGGCTGGCGAGTTCCTCGAGCGTTGACTGCATCACGCATCTTGCAATCCATAAGGTGTGGATGTTCCACGCCTCAGACCTGATGGCCCTCGCAGAGATGCCGAATCTTGGCATCCTGGAGCTATCGGATCTCTTTGGGGAAGAACAGCGCAACACTGAGGCGATTGAGGTGGATCCAATCGATTCGGTGCTCAATGATCGGCTTGTGCGAGGATGGAGTGAGAAGGATGAGCCTTTTCCAAACCTACGCGTTTTGCTGATGACCTCCGTCCACTCTTCCACTACCCTTCTAGCCTTGCAGTACGCTTCTCGTTTCCCTTCCTTGGTGTGCTGCGCTTTGCGGTCGGTATCTCTTCTAAGCAACTACTCTGAAGCACTTGAGAAGGCCGGAAGGCTAGGCTGGCGGTTGGAGCGCACGCTTAACCCTTGGATTGGGATTGATGATTCATTTCCCGTCATACAGTCTGGGGATTACATTCATCCAGGCCGGCAAACAAGGCAAAGGTCTTGCAGGTCAAATGAGATGCAGATGAAGGCGTTCGAGGAAAGCCAGACTGCCGGGGTCTTCCTCACACCCTACTGCAAAGCAGGTCCACACGGGCAGGAACAGCACGACAGACCTCCTGAGACCACTAAATCTGGGTCCGTGGCCGTGGATTCGCAATCGGATCATGAGGATGGTCTGGATCGTCCGAGATATAGCTTCCCATGGAGGATGTCTGGATGGAGCCTGTACAGCGCACTTGGAGAGCAAATCGGCAACGCGGACCTCCTTGGACAGGGAGTTTCGCTACAACAACGGGCGACATATCTTGGGTCACCCGTGGGGTGCAGAGATGACCGCAATGGGCATTATTATGACGATAAACCTTATTCGGATTGGCAAGAGGTCCTCCCACCGAAGCCGATGCTGAACATCGTGTTGGGCAGTCCTCGAAAGGACTACCCCGACTTGCAGGACACAGTCTATCGCCCAGGAAATTACCAACATAGCCTGGAGCGGCACGAACGCCGCGTGACTGGTATCACCGTATGGATGAATGAAGACACGTTCGTCCGAGAACATACCAGTACCCTGCCGACAGCGACCAAGACCGCAGCGGCCAATGTCGCCAACACCACAGGTGCCAAAGATACTGAATGCACAAAGAAAGGTGACGTGACAAATACATCAACGAAGAGGAAAGAGGCCGGTAGGAGTGTCACCTTCCGACCTCGCAAACGGCGGGATTTAAACGATCTTTTCAGCTATGGGGTGGAAAGCAAGAGAGGGTCCTAGCCTCTAAGACACTTGAGCATCGAGCCAGCTATGGAAGCGAAATGCAGCTTGCCCCGACAAGGGGGTGGCTTCAACAACAGCACGGAATGTGTGATGAACACGAGAGCTTTTGCCTTGGCACACGGAGAGCGAGATTGTTGACGTCTGTTGTACACGTGTAGGACGAAGACTATGGAAGTGAGGGTCCTGTGGGACTCGGCTAATGAATGTAATCACCACGAGTCAAGACATTCACTTCCGGCGGTGTGGCGCAATGGTAGCGCGTGGTCCTCCTACTCTGCAAGAGCAGCGAGTTCCCCAGTAGACTGAGGCTGCAGGTTCGAGTCCTGCCATCGTCGACGTAACCTTTTGCTACCCGCCGATAGGCGGGTTGGGGCGAGATCATCGCGAAATCGTGGTGCAGATACCGGAAGCTTGGCGCAACAGGGATGAGATCTACTGAATTCGGCTTTATTCAAGTCAAGTCTTTGAGAGAGGCCCTCCAAAACGGCTTGCTTGTTATATAACTCCTGGTATGATGCTGGTGAGGAACACACACTTTACATGAGAGGTAACACCAGAGTGTGCCCACAATGGTGCCCATCTAGCATGACAACATACCACTGTCACAAGAACGTTACGTATGTAGACAGCAGTGTTCGTCTGCAAGAGTCATTCAGAGGTCAAAGCCTCACGTAGAGCTGGTAGCTTCACGGTTTTGCCACGAGTGTATAGGGTTCACATGCGCGGACGTGACGCTCAGATAGTCAGGGCAAGCCATCCAGGAACACCGCTCAACACTTCTCCGAGTTTACGGCACGGATATGAGCCTACAAGGCGCCAGGGAGGCTGCCAGAAATCACAATCTAATTAGAAAATATGTCTCGACGTAGCACGAAGCCTTCGTCCCCAATCCACGACAAAGCTGCCATTCAGTGAGGAGGGTAAGAGCGCCGACAAAACGCAATATGATAGTTGATCTATCCTCCGCTTTCCCCTCCAGAATGTCATTGTAGGACGGAAGCCGGAGTGAATACGAAGGAGTGTTTTATGTGTTGTTTTATGATGAGGAAAAGAAAAGAGAAAAGGGAAGCCCAAAATTTCGCAGCCTCGAAATTCAGATATGGCAGACATTTCGCGCTAGACTTAATTGGGAGTTGAACCCTTTGGGGAAGGTCGTCCAATCAGGTGAGTCATGTTAGTGAGTCAAAGACTCAACCCCACCATATGGCGGGGCAGGTACTCGACCGAACGGGCGCCAACACAGATCTGCCGCCCCTCGTCTCAATTCATCCTATCGTCATTTTTGGATTGTTGGTCTTGGAGGCTTGTATTTTCACCTTCTACTTGAAGATTAAGCTTCTGGCGTGTGATTCACTTTAGATATTAGATCTCTTGAAATACCGCCCCAGGGATTCGGAGTGTCCTTTTTCTTCTTCTATAAATATCGTGCCTTGATCAGTCGAGCTCGACTTTGATCGACAACAAAGCAAGACTTTCGACCACCGACAACCAGTTTCTACACTCAGACACGATGGCAGGCGGCGGCGCACCAGGAGGTAACTCGCGCGGACGCGGCGGCAAGTTCAAGAAGTACACTCGTGGAGGTATGTCACTGTCCTCCAACCTCTATACCTCTCGCATCAGCTAACAAGGCATTCTCACAGGTGGCAAGCACTTCTCCCGCGATCTCCGACCCCTCGACGCCGACGGTAACGAAATCAGCATGTGGGCCAGCGGCGCCCAGAAGAAGAAGGACGAGTCCTCGGAAGAAGAGTCGGAGGAGGAAGAATCGTCCGAGGAGGAGGAGGAGTCCGACGACGCTGGCCCCGGTGCCTCAACCGCCGCGCTATCCCGTGAGGAGCGCAAGAAGGAAAAGGCCGCCAAAAAGGCAGCTGCCGTCGCGCGCGCCAAAGCTGCATCCGTGCAAGTCGGTGACTTGCCGCCTTCAGAGTCAGAGGAGTCCAGCGATGAGGATGCCGACATGCCCGCCAACCCGAACCACTCCAAGGCCGCGCGCAGCCAGACCAAGGTTGTGCAGCAGACGAGCGCTGCTGTCGAGGAGGCGACGGACAAGGTCAAGAAGCTGGCCGTTAGTGGTACCATGAACCGGAAGGAGAGGGAGAGCGCTGAGGCCGCGGAGGCGAAGGAGAGGTATCGGAAATTGCATGAGGCTGGCAAGACGGACGAGGCGAAGGCGGATTTGGCGAGACTTAGGCTCATTCGGGAAAAGAGGGAGCAAGAGGCTGCGCGGAAACAGGTAAGACACACGCGATCACGCACTGGCTGAACCGCCGCTAACATGACATTCACAGGCTGAGAAGGAAGAACGCGAGGCTGACGCAGCGGCCAAGAAGGCCGAGATTGATGCTAAGGAGGCCAAGAAGCGGGAGGCTGCCCTGGGTCCTGCCACCAAGGGCAAAGGGAAATCGAAGAAGTGAGAAGATATCGAAGGATAGCACGCAAGGACTAGCGGTCGGAACAGCGCAGGGTTATGGCCCCTTCGTTGCCGAAGTTGTATATTTACATGCTTGCTACCTCGCAGCAGCCGTGATTCCAGCATTCTAGTTCTATATACCTTTTTGTTGGTGATACCACGTGCATCTACACAGACTGTCTCCTCTCTCTCGCGCACATGCTACATCATTCCAGCCAACCCTTCAGCCGTGTCAGTCCCCACAGCCTCCTTCCAGAAGGCATCGAAATCGATCCCCTCCTTCGCAAACATCTCTCTGATCCGTCCCGCAACCTCAACCTGCTTCTCTGGCCCGAATCCACCCGGCTGCGACGCTTCAAACTGCACAATCTCGATCCAGCGGTAGAACATATCCTCCTTGTCCACCGCAGTAAGCGCGTCCCTGAACGCAAAGACCTGCCTCCTCCTCTCCTCTTCCGCAGCGCTTGGACCACCAGCCGCGCCACGGTCAACGCATACCCAGCCAAACTCCTTGCTGTAGAACAGCACCACCCTCTCAAATGCCTGTAGCGCAATGGTCCTTGCGTCAACGAGGGCAGTGGCGGAGATCATGGCCGCCCAGTCGAGGTCCCAGTCGCCGTTCATGAGGAGATAGCCCGTCTTCTCCTTGAGCAAGATGGCATCTGTTGCAGGCGTGACCTTCGACAAGATGAGCCTGCGTTTCTCCACGCCCTCGAGACTCAGAGCGTCGTCAAGGACACCAACGTCCCATTCCCTGCTTCGCCGAACGTAGATCTCCTTGTCGCGAAAGCCCGTCTTCCACCTCCACACCACGGGATTGCTGTGCGTCACGCCGAGGCAGAACTCCACAGGCCACGGCCAGACGAAGATGGTGAGTAAAAAGTCCAGAAGGAAAGTGAAGGCGCGGCGGAGAACGATGGAGGCCAGGCTCGAGGTCGAGGGGGCGCCCAGGACGGCGACATCTCGGGTGTAGCCCAGCGTGGAGAGTAGCAGGGCGCCGTACCAGGGGAGGATGTAGTTGATGCGCCAGACGAAGAGGGCGACCACCGCCAGGTTCATTGCGACTGGGACGAGGAAGATCTTGATCTTGAAGGCGCGGGGCTTGGTGTCAATGTGGGTTAGGTAGATGTGCTTTTTGGAGAGGCTTTCAGTGAAGGGGGTTAATGCCTCGGGAACGGCTTTGAATGGGGTTGGTGGTGAGGAGGTCGTGGAGGTAGAAGAGGGCTTGGATGATTGTTTGGGTTTTCTAGGCGCCATCTTTGAGGTTTGAGCGAGATAGACAGCCTGGATTGCTGAAGCTAGTCGGTTGCTGAGATTTCAGCTTCCGAGGATCCGTGGAGGCAAAGAGTGAGTCTCTCCTTTGCCTTGGCGAATATGCCACGTTCTCACAGATGAAATAGAGGTATTAGATCGAAAATTGGCAAAGTCAATCACTCCAAAATTGACTAATATTGGACGAAGTCCGACGAGGTGCCTGCAAGCTGATGAATTCCAAGAGGTCTTGATGTAGGTAAGCTTGGTTGTGTTCAGTGTAAAACGTGGCAGAAGACTAGCCGAACTCGGTCTAGCGTAGAGTACACAGCAACTTTATTTGAACTCCATTCTCGCTTCATCGTTGTCACCTTAGGCTTCACGAGATCATCGCTTCCAAGCTCGCCCACAATTCTGAATCAGTGGCCGAGCTTTCTTGCCGCTCGGAAAATGTATGCTGAATGACAAAGTGTTCGCACCCATAATTAAGGCTGACCTTCCCTCGCACCTTAGTCGTCACGCTGCTTCAGTTACCTTAGACCGTCGATGTCAAACATTGCAAGCTTGACTGCTTCGCTCTTGCGAAATAAGGGCTAACGGTAGGGGAACCGCTTCTGCAAGCGGGCGGTTGATAACATTGCCGCTGGCTGCAACGCAATTTGTGCTACGCTGTCGCCTGAGGCATGGCCCACCTCCGCGTAATGTATTCTGCTTTTGCTAGAGATCCCTGGCGGTTCCGACTATTTTATTTGCCACGAGGGAGTTCATTTCTTATCAGGGTAGCTGGGTGTAAAGATGGTGAGGCGCTGGGGTGACAAGTAACAAGACAAAGAAACAACTGCTTGGTCAGGCGACCAGATCTTTGGGGCAAGGAGGGGTGACATGGCCCTGGTCAAGACACTAGGTAGGAGCGACTTCTTGTCGTCAGGTAAGCTGATCAGCTCGACCGCGAGTGATTCTTAACAGGTATGTATTGAAGCCGACCTCAGTTGTTATAGGCGGTTTCCTCGCGGATGTATACCATTGGTTTGTCGTCGGCGTAGTCGAAACATCATGTACATAGCCTATAGTTGGTTTTCATGAACATCCGCTGACGATCGTAGCATTTCCTCTGGCAAACTTCATAATCCTCATAGTCTGACGTGATGGGTTTAGTATCCTTGGATATCTGTCGTAGTTTAGAGTCCAGGGACTGGTTTAGTCTGGATTGTGTTGGTACACTTGTACCTGCCGAGGGGAGTATCATACGACAGTCCTTAACTGACCTGTACGTACTACAACTGGCGCCGACATCGTCTAATGAGTTGTCGATGCAATATTGTATATACAAGTGTCGTTCTATATGTATTTCCAAGCCGCCAGAGACAGATATCAGTAACTTCTCATGATACATAGTGATCTCAATACCTCGCCGGCTTATCAAGATCTCCCATAAGATACTGATCTACGAAGTGGTCCAGGGCGCGTACAAGTGTCCCTCGTGTCGCCAGCCCGTGTGCAGTCGTGCCGTCCTCGGTATTAAAGTCTCAAGATAATTTGCGGTACCTGACACTTCATTGTTGCCGTATTGGTGTATCGTCTCGTTAAATTACTAGGTAGGTACGGATGAGTATCAGCACGACTGCCTTGAAGTGGTTCAAGAGATTAAAGTCATTCAGGGCACCTCAAGTG